ATGTACCATGGACTGCCAAGAAAACAAACAGATTCATCCTAGAGAGGGTTAAACCAGGCTACTCCTTGGAGGCAAGGATTCTGGGGCTTTGTCTGACATATTTTGGACATGTTGTAAGGAGAGAGAGGTCTTTGGAGAGGGACATCATGCTGGGTAGAGTGGAGGGATGACGCAGGAGGGGAAGACCCTCTATGAGGTGGATTGATGCAGTGACTGGGGTAATCAGGATGGGTGTGTCAGAGGCAACGCGATTGGCACAGGATAGAGCAGGGTTTAGGGCTGTTGTACATGGGGTCGCTATGAGTCGCAGGCCATTCGACAAGACATAACAACAACAACAACAACATTCTTTCCAGCTACTTCCTGCTGAACAGGGGCGAAGATCTAGGGCTCAGAGGCTGGATTGGGATGGTCCAGGACCAGTAGCCAGGGGAGAATACGGATGTCACAGCAGCTGGTTCAAGTTAGTAATTTCTTTTATCCTGTGAAGTAAGAATTTAAAAAGGCAGGGAGTGATTAATGACAATATGAAGAGCTACTTAAGGCTAGAGATCTGAGTGAGGTCAAGAGTAGCGTGTGTGTGTGTGGGGGGGTTTGGCAACAATATGAAGAGATAATTAGGGCTTGAGATCTGCATGAGGCAAAGAGTAGTGGGGCCCACCATTTGAGAAGTGTTGAAGGTCTGCTCAGTGAGAGGAACATATTTGACCTGAGAAAAGTGGTGCCAATGGGGGCTGCATATGACCTTAAACGCTGTGGGAGTAGTTAGGATGACTGTATAAAGTTTACCTTAGCATGGTTAAAGAGGTTTGGGTGCATGCGTGGCATTTGATGAGGACAGCATCTTCTGGGGTGACTCCAGCTGTCCGGTCTAGACTTTCAGGTGAGGGTCTGGATATGCAGTGGTCTGCATGTTCCCAGAGTAATTGCCTAATGAGGGAGAGATGAGGAAGATATGATGCTATAAGAGGGGGTTCAGTGGGTTGGTTATGGATCAGCAGAAACGGTTGGCTGTACATCAAATCAAAGGGGCTCAGAAAGGGTGGTGAAGTTGGTACATTTTGTGGGTACTCTGTTTCGAGACTTTTCCAGACTGCTTGCTCTTTCCACTCCAGAATTTGGCTTTGACACCTGTCCAGGTTGCTATGCAGAGACCTGCTTCATTCTTTTGATCTTCTGTGTGTTGTTGTCGTGGTTGTCAAGATGACCCAATG